GGAAAGTATACACGCCTCGAGCAACAAACGTAGCTACATTTCTCCACAATTGCAAGCTGCAGTTCCTGTCAACGAGCTCGTTTCTAGCTTCTCCGTCGTCCGTCCGGCGAAAATGAGCGAGGAAAGAAGATGCTGGCTGCGGACAGTGGCCGGAGCGAGCAAACAAAAGAGGAGAAACGAGACTTGCGAGCGAGAGGAAACGAGTGAAGAACAAGCGAAAGAAGGAAGGGGAAAAAAAAAAGAAAGAAATGTTAAAGAAGAAGAAGCGTAAAACGGTGGAATGCTGCCAGGCAAGAGGGATCGGGAGAGGCCTTTAACGTTCCTCCGCGCGAGAAGGAGGAGAGAAGGTCGGATCAAGGCTTCGTACGGCTCGATTTTCGGTGTCCCCGGCGAGTAACAGATGAACCAAATGGTTTCCTGTTTCGTCTTTCACGCGGGGAATCCTACGTATGTGTAGCGAGGCGCAGGTTGACCAGCGTGACGAGGGCAGGTTGAAATATTGATTAGATAGTTGAATTCTGTTCTGTACATGGTTGTTGCACGAAATTTTCACGGATCTTTCTATCTCTGAATTCTTTTTTTTCTGGGTGTTTTTTTTTTTTTTTTAATGACTGTGTCATATACTTAGCAATTGTTAAATTGTTCTTTACTGCGACTCGTGTGATATTTAATACACTGTGTATATACTGTATAGATTCTGTACCTTGATCCATTCGACACGTTCTACTGTTCATCGCACGCGATGCATCGATTAATAAGCTATAAAAATTCGTAATTGATCAAAGACGCTGAATTATAATTTGTGCCTGACTCATTCTACTGACGCATGTTTCTAACAGTTAATCTAATCAATACCGATGCGTTTTTATATGCTCTGGATTAACGTAGAACAATTAAGCATAGATTCTGTGTCTGACTGGTCTGTGACACATTCTACTGACACACGTTGTGCGTCGATTTAATGATTATTCTATATTCTAACTACTGAAATTATTGCTGCACTTCAAACACAATATTATATTGTATAATATTGTACGTATATACAAACCTAATATTAATTTATTTATAATGAAATGACGTCAAAAAATTCACATTCAATTTCTATGCAAAAAAAAAGGAAAAATCATAGACTAGTAATCTTCATCTTGTTGCTTGATCTCGATCCCATCCCTGTTATGCACGATCCACGGAAAATCGTCTTTCTCTAGGAGAGCGCGATAAAACGAGCATGGTCATTCCGTAGCGTGGAATGTTGCTCTACCAGCTCGATAAGCGGAGCGTAGTATCAGAGATCTCGTAGGCGCCACGAACCCGTGTTGATTAGTTGATCCCGGCGTTATTGCCACCGAACGAGTTATTCGTCATTGCCGCAAAATTCTTTTCATAGTTGCGTGGTAGGCGCAGGCCCGGCGACGAAAGGTGAAACGTGAGATTTCCGCGTTGGAAGAAAGTTGTCGAGCCTCGGTCCTCGTTGTTTTCTAGTCGTCGTCGTCGTCGTTCGAGGATAGGTGGAGAATTTACGAGCCACCGAACAGAAGATTTCACGAGAAACCAGTTGCCATGATAATTTAGAGACGTGTTAAGCGCAGCTTAACGTGCATTTACTTTTGTATGGATGATGATATATTAGGGTCGAAGAATTAGGGGAAGAATTTTGTATTCTAAAATATGTGTTCTAAAATCGAGTGATTTACATACTTTCTGATTACTTTTTGTTATAATATTAAATTTATATTATAATATTAATTTGTTATAATATTAAATCCATAACATCCATAAGTAATCTTATTTCCTTCAAAATTAATAAATATTGCCATCTAGTGACAATAACTTGACTTGTTAATATTGAATATTATAACATAACTATGTTCTAGTTAAATATATTGACATTTAGCTGACATATTGCTTGTTAAATTATATTATACGTTAAGTAATATTATAGATAAGTTAAATAGGGATAATTAGATAGATTAAATTACATTATAGATATTGGCTAATTAGATGAGTTAAATTATATTATAGATTAAAACTGTATTAGCTTTTAAATAAAATGAAACATCGCACAGTATTAAAAAATGACATTTGGAAGGCACCTCTAATATTATTTACTTCAGGCCTTCAGCTACAAAATTATATACGAATTATCATGAGTGCTTCAATGAACTTGAAAATCATGCATCACATATGGATCTGGATTTCGATTCTCTTTTCTTTTTCTTTTTTTTTTTCTTTCCTTTTCCAGACAACTCCAGCTCTTGCGAACCGTTCAAGGTTCTCGTTATGTAATCTGCGATTATGCAACGTCGTAATATTTATAAATAGAAAATGTAACAGACGACGTGATTCCTGTCTTTATTTCAAATATCAAAAACTGTTCGTAACTTCTATTATAAATGTGCTGCGAATTCTTTCGTTATAAATTTGATAACAATTATAGAAATTGTGATTGACGATGCATCATTTGATTTCACGAAAATTTGCAATCTTCACTCTCGTCAGAATCGAATAGCAATAGTGAAGAAAATTTCTTTGTCATTCTCGCAGCATCTGTCCCGAGAATCAAAACAAAACGAAACGATCGTTTTCGAACGTGCCACTGTGTTCGATTTTATTAATAATATTCGAACAATTTTCCGCAAGAAAAGAGCCAAACGAAATGGCTCTCTTTAACCACTTGCGCTGGCAACTGATTGCGGACCATAACGAGTGACCAAAACCGTATACAATGATTCGTCGCTTTCTCTTTGAACTCGTCGTTATGATATCACTGACTATGGATAGAAATTATTGAGAAGCAATAAATTTATTATTTATTTCGCCTATTTTGTATCACTTGAATATACTTAAAACTGAGAAAATATGACAATTTTGGAACAAAAAGTTCTTGACGTGCGTGGCACGTTGTTCCAGTGCAAGAGGTTAATTGATCGATGCATAAAGTTATTCCCATTGTACGATCGTGCGTCTGGAATCGTGATCTAATCGCGAGATGCAACAACCTGAGTGTGTTGAATGGAAAAAGCAGAGAATGATCTGAATGCGTTTTTATAGCGATTTATGCATGTATAATTGCCCGCGTAATCCCGGCCGACGCTGGTGGTTATTGATGCAACATGGCCCCGTTAAACGCTTTGTTTCAACGAAAGCTGCTGAGCTTGCAGTCCAAGCATCTCGATTGCGTGGCAGCCAGTTCACCGAGCGCTGCCACTTTCCCCCAAAAGTGTCGAGTCGATTTTATAATTCCTGTGAAATTGACACTCGAGACTCTCGTGGGAAACATCAATCCCAATCGGATGATAATTCACTCGTCGTTGAGAGGGGAATTTGTTGTATCCGCGGTGATTGCTCATTGAGCAATTTGCGGTAAGAGATGCTAATTGAAAGGCGAGACAAAAGGGAGAGCAAATGGAATGACACAGGTTCTAGAAAAGAGACAAAAAAATATAAATTAATTCTTTCGGACTTCAGTTTTTTTTTGTTTTTTTTTTTTAATTTATCTTGAAATTGATTAGAAACTGATAATCTATGGTCACATCGTTCGATGTTTGATCATCTTTACCAGGAATGACCAATTACACGAGATATGTTTGAAAACTTGTGAAATATTCATAAATATTGAAATTTTGAGAAATATTGAATTTTACTGAAATTATTATTATACCATAGATTGTTTTTAAACGAGCATTTATTCGTTAAAAATAAAATAATGAGAAATTAATTTAGCTACGAAACGACGTAAATTCATCGATCTCTGATTCCCATGAATTGAAGGAGTAATGCACGACCGCAATAAAACATAGTACTTACAACAGTACTACATGATAGTTCGATTACAGAAGCCATAAAGTTTTATCGGTACAACTACGATCGTGTACGATGCGAAATGAAATTTGCATGTGTGCCAGATTTAGGAGATGCAACGAGTCCAACAGGCTATTTCAACTAATTGTCACTGTTACACTACTGTTGACCTAATCCGACTGCATATGTGTATCAACTAGGCAAGATTTTCATTGTAATCGAAGAGCTCGTAACAAAATTTACAACAGGTTTTATTCTAGTTTTTTTTTTTTAAGTTTATTGTATTATTTTTATAAAGTTTATTATATTACTAAGTTAAAGCTAAAGTTACGACGAGTGTAAAGTATTGTGCAATCGTGGTACAATCGTGCATCTCTTTGCTTTATTCTATGTATGTTTGCATCTTCAAACTTCCGTCATTCCATAAATGAACAAACTAAATTAAAATGAATATTGCAATGTGACAATCCTCAATTATTTACGACACGACGTGTCGCATTACGGCATATTGTGTCGTGAAAGTTAATCGAACGATGTCTCTAACGTGATCGAGAGAGAAGAGAATTTCGAAACAGATAATCATTTACATATGTGCGATTTTCACTGTATAGTAAAAAAAAAGAAAATATATATATATATAGAAATTTGTAACGATTACTCGTAATTGGATATCAAATCAGGACGGTCGATGTACAATTTAATTATGCGTACTGTGTTATTTACGCTGGTAATCCACGGATAAAGGCTTGCAATCGATTTTGTATCAGCCATTTACGTTACACACGCGGTGTCATAAAGATTCAATTATTTTCTTGGATATTTTCTACATTTTATATTATTTATTTATTTTAGTTATCATTTATATATTAGTTATTTTATTTATCTTAGTTATCATTTATTTAGTTATTTTATTTATTTTAGTTATTATTTCTTATCGTGATAATTTGAACCCTTCGATTTTAATTTCAATTTACATCGATAATTCTCTTTCGGTTAAATTAAAAAAATAAACACAACAGTGAGGGAATAAACAGAAATAAGTTCTTGAATGTTTCGAATAAATAATAAAAAATTACACACGAAATAATTACCACGGGTTCAATGGTCTACTCTAAGTTTGACAAACAAATAACTTCCCCGTGAGAGTTAGTCCAAATTATCACCAACTAACGCCACCGTGTCGTTTCTTCTGCTCGCAGGTGAAAGGAATTTCTCGACTTAGGCTAGGATGTCACATCACAGCGACGACAACATGCTGATAGCAACCTCGGACTCCTTCTGGGAGCCGGGTAACTACAAACGAACGACCAAGAGGATCGAGGACGGGCACAAACTGTGCGACAGTTTGATAGCACTGGTGCAAGAGAGGGCGGAGATCGAGAAGAGTTACGCGAAAGCGTTGAAAAATTGGTCGAAGAATTGGAACGACAAGATCGAGAAGGGACCAGAGTACGGAACCACCGAGGCTGCGTGGAAGGGTGTGCTTGTCGAGTCCGAGAGGCTGTGTGATCTTCACCTCAGGGTCAAAGAGAATCTTTGCAACGATATCATTCAGCAGGTGAAAACGTGGCAGAAGGAGACCTATCACAAGGTACGTTTCTTTTTTTTTTTAGCTTAATCCCGTTAGTGTGCAAGAATATAAATATTCATATATTCCGTAATATATTCAATAACGTATTCATATATATTACTACTATATTCAATAATATATATAACTATATTATTGCTCGAATATTATTATTATATATTATTATATATTACTACTATATTATTGCTTGAATATTATTATATATTATTGCTAAAATATTGTTGTTGTTATTATTATTATTATTATATATTACTACTATATTATTGCTAGAATATTATTATTGTTATTTGAAACATGTACGTGATTTCGATACATTGCAGTCGATGATGACGCTGAAGGAACGAAAGGAGATGGAGGACGCGTTCAAGAAGGCGCAGAAACCATGGGCGAAGCTTCTGCAGAAGGTTGAAAAAGCAAAGTCCGAGTACCACAACAGTTGCAAGACCGAGCGAACCGCGGCGAACATGGAAAGGAACGCATCGGCGGACAGTTCACTTTCCCCTGACCAGGTAAAACGAATAGTCGCCCGGCTCTGCGTTTCGTCAATTACGGTTACAGTTCTCTGAATTACACGAATTACGTCATTTGTCGTTCATATCGAGACGATTGGCGCAATTTAGTATGTACGTTACGTGTCACTTGTGAATCGCAGCGATTGTCATCGTGCTCGCTTTCGAAAGGTATTTTTTTTTTTTTTTTTTTACATTGTCGAGAAATAGTAATTCATTGATGAAGAGAATAGAGCACCTCGAACGCCTTTCAGTTAGGATAGAATATGCAATTAGAGTTAAGAATGGTCGGAGGATCGTTCGTTATTGAGAATGTCGTTTAACTGCGGTTAACAGAGACTGAGAATTAAAATTTTACCAAAGGATTATTTATCGTCGATTGTTTGGTCACAGGGAATTTCGAGAAATTATGTATACCTTGTGGAATGAAAAAATTTTAAATAGAATCGAAGTTTGGAAATAATAAAATTGACTTTACTTACGTTAAGAATAGGAAAATTGAAAATTATTTAGAATTCCTGAATTGTTGGACAAATTGTAGAGAATCGTTATATGTTAACGATAGAAATTTAACAACTGTTGATACAAACCAATTTTTGCAATATCTGCAGAAGAAAGTTTATTACATAAGTTATTGAAAAATTTACGTCATTGTCTCGTAATTAAGACATTGTCTTGGAATTAAGTATGAAAGAAAGCTTTCATTCATTGAAATTAAAATTTACGATCCACATTTTAAAAGAAGGAAACGTTTCCTTAATTAAAATTCTTTCACGCTGTGCTCCATCTTCCTGAATAACAAAGATATTCGAGAAGATATTGAATAACAAACTGCTGTAGATGAAATCGATGTTGAACTAACGGAAATTTCTTCGCAGTATTTAAACCAAATAATTCTGATAGCCAGAACTATATTATGTTGTAAGAATTTAACAAAACACCCAAATCAATGAGAAACAGTCACGACAATTCAATTAATTTCAAGTAAAAATTCTTCGTTCAAACTAAAAAACAATAAGTTTGAACGAAATGAATAAAATATTAATTGGAGTATCTATTGATTTTTTTAATTAACATTAAAAGTACATAAAGCGAATCATTTAAAAAGGAACGACCCTCCAATCATTTCAGACATTATACTACCCAAAAGAAAGAAATTAGAAATTTTTCATTAAAAATTCTGTTTCGTGAACGAAAAAAATTTTTTTCTCGAGGATCTCCCAAAAAATTTTCGTCTCCTTTTCGAAGCGAAAGTACTCTTGACAAAAAAGAAAAAAAAAAAGAAAAAAAGAAAAGAAACATAACGCACACACAATATACATAATGATACATACATATACATGTGTGTAATACTAAACATTTAGTATGCATCTCGATCACGCATTCGCGGCTGAATATAAAAAGTAGATACTGTTGTTCTTTAGCAAGTATTATTTTCAGATGGCCCGAGGCTCTGAAAACGTATGTGAAACAAAAACAAAAAAATCCGTCTCGTGTTTTAATCTTTATCGAAAAATCTGCATGCTCCGTGTTGTCCTCTGTTTTCCCCTGACATCTATCAATCGATATCTCGTTCTGTCTCCTCGCTTCCAAATTTTTTTCGTGAATGTTCCTTTCTTTTTTTTTTCTTTTTTTTTTTCTTGCACACTTCAGTCGTTGGAGTTTTCACTTGCATCGTTAGATAATTACGAAGTTTGAGTAATCGAAAGGGAATGTTTGAGAATATTGAAATTTTAAGTAGCGAGCATTAGAACATTTGAACGTTGATTGTTGAGCATTCAAAATTTAGTTTTAGAACGCGAAATATTTATTCTCAAGTATTAAGATCTTTAAATATTAAATTAAGTTTGGAATTTCAATACGTCCAATATTAGAGTTTTGAAATGTTAGATATTAAGTAATAAATATTATAATAGCACTCCCTCTGCACTCATTTTGTCAATGCACAGAGATAGATAATTTTCTTCTTAACTTGAATCAGAATATCGAAACCTGTTTTGAAATGTCAAATAAAATTTTATGAAAAATTACAAAGCAAAGGAGCCCAAAAAAAAAAAGATTGTCGAGAATTCTGAATTCGATAAATCGCCAAACGAATGGCGATTCTTCTGAAAGAACGACGTTTTTAGATGACAGTATGTGGATGTGATGCATGGGGCCACAGAATACGAAAAGCCTTTAGGAAAACTAAGATAGGAGACGTTCAGCTTGTATGTATAATAATAATGCATGTAGCATGTATGTGAATTAACATGTTCTCTCATTTCTCATTACAGAAAGCTCTGCTGGTAAGCAAACTCTCTGTTTCAAACTTCCTTTCGAACATCGAGCCTCTAAATAATTATCTGGCAGACATCGAGCTTTTTAAACGATTATCGTACCGATATTTAAAATACTTTTGTCTTAAATTTCGTTTTAAATATTTCGAAATAGAAATAGAACTCTTTTCTGTCATTTAGAATATTCTAAATCTTTTCAAATATATAACTACTGTTCCAATAATCCAAATTAAAAAATCTAAATACATTTTCTAAGAAAATTTGAACTTTGTCAATTTTGGGGGAAATTTTGTAAATTGAAGATCATTTCAGATTATAACAAATTGATTTAATTAAATAAATTTATTACATATTATGCAACTAAATTGCGAAAGTCCTCTATAAATATAATTCCAGAATTTGCATAGATAATTGCTCGGCGATTGCTCGAAAATAAATTACAATGGCCTAATAATAATTTTAGTGTAGAATTTTGCTCTCTTTACTCCTTCTGTACGTAATTCTCTAAATTCTTGTAAACCCTAATTGCTTGGCCACTCTTTACCTGTAGATTTGCAATTTCAAGAAACTACCTATCAATCTGCTAGATTTTCCTCCTTTAAAAATCAAATTATTCAAATTATTTACTCTATACACGTGTCATACGAAATTTTATATATGTTAAATGTTCGTTTCTTAAATCTCTAAATATATTTCTTACACATATACACAATACACACGTAATGTGGAATTTTGTATATTAAATGTGTTCATTTTTAAATTTCTGTTTCTTCTTCGTCTTACACACGTGAATATAACATGACGAAAAATTATACTTACACCTGTCGTACTGTAATGAACTGTAAAGAATATTTTCAAGGAGTTTGTCACGAGGTAAGATAAACGATAGTGCAGCTAGTCATTATTGTGCATGAGACCAGATAGCATTTTGACGAATAGTATGTAATGTAAGGTTTTTGAAGCTTCGTAATAGTTGCGTTATTAGGAAGAAGAAAAAGAATTCATGAATATTCTGTTACAGTTCTTTACAGTACAACTCTCATTTTACGTTCTTTCATCACACGTGTCTTCGTCCATATTTTTCTGGAATGTTAGAGCAAAGAACAAAATTATACAAGAAATTTTCTATCACAGATCATCTACTGTAAGGTGAAAAATTTGTAGAAATTAAAATAATAAAAACTCTCAGGTTCTTGTCAATTGATTTAATTAGTCAGAGAAGAGATTGAGATTAGATTTTTATTAAATTTATATTTTTAATGCAGCAATGCACTATTTTAAAATACGAACAGATTATGTAAAGTATTATATTTTTAGAATAATTCATAATGATTTTCTTTGATTTTAAAGCCTTTTCGTTGATTCATATAAGCTTTCATCAAGTTGAATTGCCTAAACAATTTCAAAACACTCTGAATAAAATTAATTTAACTTGGAGAATTTACTTGTTAGCAGTTTTTTTGCTCTTCTTCTTTTTTATTATTATTTTAAATTATTATTTTATTATTCTAATATCATATATTGTTTCATTCATTGTTACTCACATTACTATTTTTACACAAACCTTACAAGATACAAGAGATACATATCATCTAACTTCAATTTGCTACAATTTTACTGCACGTGTAGATACCCAGTATTTGTTGATTAAATGTTTAAATCTACGATAGAGATTCACGCTTAATTTTTCAAAGGTATTCTTTTGTCGTCACAATAGTAACGCTCGGTAAGCTTGAGGGTAAAGAATTGGAATAATTATCACAATTGACACTTGATATTATTCAGAACACGTTTCGACATTTATATAAACGATAATATAAACATTAATTAATTCAGAGTCAAAAATACTTTCTTTTCGTTGTTCTCTTCTCTAGCTTACCAATGTGTTTGGGTTTGTACCAAGATCTTTACCTTCAATGTAGGCCATGAGAGAACGAAATGTGTGGGACAATTGTTCATCAAACGTTTCTCTATGTAATTAACAGGTGAAGAAGATGCAGGACAGGGTGCAGAAGACGAAGGAAGAAGTACAAAAGGCGAAGGAGAAATACGAGGCTGCGTTGCAAGAAATTAATCAGTACAATCCGAAATATATGGAGGATATGACGCAAGTGTTCGAAAAGTGTCAAGAAATGGAGGCGCAGCGGCTTCAGTTCTTCAAGGACGTTCTCTTCGGCATTCACAAATGTCTGAATATATCTCAGGATCCAATGTAAGCTTAAATTTTTTAAAATTTATAAGACGAGAAACTTTGCTCGAGAAGAATGAGACTAATTCTCGTTGATAATTTTCATTTGAAGAATTTAAAATATTTCCGAAACTAAAAGAGAGTATTTAGAAATCATCAGAAATTTATTAAAGTGAATCACCTCCAATCTTAAAATGAATTTCGAGCTCTCTTTTTATCGTTTACAGTCTTCCACAAATATACGAAGAATTCTACCATACAATTAACAACGCGGATCACGAAAAGGATTTGAAATGGTGGTCGAACAATCACGGTGTAAATATGGCAATGAATTGGCCGCAGTTCGAGGTAAGTTGGCGAAATAAAGAACACATAACGCATCGCAATAATTCTTCCTTATCGCATGTTAAACCTCTTGCTGATGGTTGAAGATCTGATGTTAGAAAATATAGACGTAGAAGTGTACTGGATATCATTCTTGTTCTTTCCCTTTTTTATAACTGCATTAATATCGTCTGTTAGTTATATTTCTCTATGTCTGGATATTCTGCAATATTTCGTTGGAAAATAATTTTGCTATATAAAGTCGCCGTTACGTGGAAATTTAAAGTGCAACAACTGACTTCATACTCTAAATTTCCATTGACTGTACACGTCATTGATCAAGATGATACATTGTTTTCTTTTTTTAAGTTTTCTCCTTATTTTTAACGTTGATATATCTGTACAAAGCAGATACATATTTGAAACAAGATTCCATAGTATTTTGGAAATGATTTCACTCTGATTTATTCGCTGTCATTAACAGAGTGACCCAAAAGTATTTTTCATACCTAATGAATAAAAATAAGAGATTCACAGATACGTTGTTTTAAAGTCAGAATTTCATCTAGTTGCTCCAATTTTATTCTTGCGAGATTCCTCTCAAAAGAAAAAGGGAAAAAATTATTCCTTTATATGATAGACATCCCCTGAGAATTGAAATATCTTCCGGAATGCATGCATGTGATTGTCTTTTTTTTTTGGGCGTTGCTATTACGCAGGACTACACAGAGGAGTTCCGTGACATCACCAAGGGCTCAAAGTCGAAGGAGGCTCTTCCTGCTGGCTCCATCACGCTCATCAATCAACGCCCGGTCGGCGAGGATGTGCATGTAAAGTTTCGTTACGTTTTACACTTTTACGTTCGCCTCTTCATCGTTTCGCACACGTGGAAATTCATACGTACACGCAAAATACGCGCACGTGCTTACATGTACGTACAAGTACATAGAGAAAGAAAAAAAAGGAAAAACAACGAGGTTTTACAAAAAAGAAAAAAAGAAACCGATCAAGAAACCACGAAATAATGTGGTAACAGGCAAGCACGAGGTCACCGTGGATGGGTTTCCTTTTTCAGCTTCTGGCTCGCCTAACTTAACTGAATTAACCGTAACCCGCTATGCGCTTGTTCTTGCACGTAATCGCTGATCTATATCGCGAACACACGCCGAGCATGTATCCACTGTTCGATTCTGGAGCGAAATTCCCAATGAAATTGACCTGTTCATTGAGAAGCACATATAATTCGCTTGGATTAGCAGTAACTTTCGAAGATGATAATTTTCTTTATGTATAAAATACTTGATATTCTTTAGAGCTGCTAAATATTTTGGTTAGCAAATGTTACAGCTTCTAGTTGAATATTATAGTTACTACGTATTTTTAAATGTTTTATATATTTCTCCGCGTTCAAATTTAAGCCTGTAATATAGTTGTTGTAATTTGTCAATTAGATTAGTAGTCTGTTATTAAATTACAACTAGACTGGAAATTTTTGTGCATTAACAGGAGATTTGAAAGTGAATTTTAATAATCTTCTAGTAGTTTGTGAAGTTGTAGAAATATTATTTTATTCTTGTCTGCTCTGTAAAAGTTTTATTAAAAATGTGACGACATTTTTTGAGAATGATGTAAAGATCTAACGGTGTAACGTCGGCAAGGCTATTTCAAACGTCTTTATCTATTTATAATTCATACCGATGACGCCAATCGAACGTGCATCCATTATGCGGACGATCGTAAATGAATAAGACCAGTAAATAGGCGCCAAAGTATACAAAAGAATTTCAACTATTACGAATGCGTGTGCAATGTGAGACGTTTAAATGCGTTTAAAAGATATACTTAATAGTAGTAGCGTAAATTTAAGAAAAATGCACACACGAGAATAAATTTTGTAGAATTTTTATTTACTGTATCCACGTAATGTAATTTAGATCACGAGGATTTCCAAATGCTTTTAAGTTCTATATTATCTTTAAAGCAAGAATCATTAATGGAGAAATATAAATGTCAGTCAAAGGAAAGTTTCACTATTAAATATTCTTTAGTTCTGTTCATAAAAATATACATGTGCATAAACATCTGCAGTCGAATTTCTAAAAATCAAATTACGACGAACATCTGGAACAAATAAAATACAACAATTTCTTAAGAAAAAAGAATATGAAATAGGGGAAATTAAAAGCCTCAAGAGCTGAAATCAGATGTTTTTAAAATTCAACATCTATTCAGTATCAAAATTACACAGCCGCTTAATGATCTCCCGTATCTCACGTAATTTCTGCTAATTAATTTTAATTAACAATTCATTTATATCGGATAGTATCTCTATTCACATACGAATGACAAAACAGTAAATTCTCTCTATATTTGCCCGTACGTAATAGAAACGTAATTATTTATTATTAAGCGTTAAAGCAAACGTGCTTGCAACCAGAAATTATCCGACGCGATAAAATTGTCACATTCGTAAGTGTGAATTACGTTCAATGTTGTAACAACGAATATATCGTCACATTCGTTATCGCATGATGTATGACACGGTAACAACCTTCGCTCGTTAAAAGAAGCTTCTTAAAGTTCTTAAAATATGATCGTAATCAGCACCTGTGCGACACCATTATCTTCATTCTTTCTCATCACAGTCGTTTTCGTTTCATCTTTAAATCATTTCGCATCTTTTTCAACGCTGTAACGACCGTCTACATTTCATAGCAAATTTTCGTTAAAAATAAAAAACACGTCACGTTACCAGTTGTTAACTGCTAAAAATCACACGACCGTACAGTATCACTAAATCGCTAAAATCACACAACAATCACGCCACCGGCCGTTATAAAATTTTTATCATAATACATTCTTATAACTTATAATACATTCTTAAGCTTAATAATAATATTGCGAGTAATTATATACACGAGTAATTCTGTACGCTTTCGATATTAAATAATTAACTACTAAATAGTAGATATATTACAATTGGTTGCACGCATGATTTCAGATAACATTATAAATACTTAAATTACGAAATTGTAAATATAATTAATTAGTACGTGTACATCGATTTAATTAATAATACGATGATCTTTCATTAATGTAGGAATATCCGCCAGTTAATAATAAATCAAAATCGAAGCCCAGTTCCCGGGTGATATCAACAGACGGTGGTCACGGGGATAGCAAAACTGATACGATGGATTCTAGTAAACACTCTTCAGAGAAAAATAATCACGATGGTAACGCAGTGAACAGGACCTCCACGATGACGTGAGTATTCTATATAACTTCACGATAAGAATTGATATGATCCATTCTACTGCCTCTTTAAATTTAAAAGACTTCTTAATTAAACTAAAACTCTTATTAATTAAACTTAAAAAAATCTTCAAAATCTTTTTAATTTAATAATAAGAATACTTTAATAATTTAATAATAAGAATACTTTAATAATAAGTATACTTCACTACTAAAAAAGATTTCATTAAAGTACTAAATACTGGAAGATTTTTATTCCGCTAATGGACTGTTCAATATATGTAGGGACGTACTGTATTTTATTTTAACTATACTGATTTGGTCATTGAATTTTTAAATTTCTTCCTTTTAAATGATAAGTAACATTGAATCTTCTGTTTGCAGTAATGGTACGAATGCGAAGCAAGAATCAAATCCATTTGAGGAAGAAGAATGGGACGAAGATAGTGGTGAACCATTGGTAGATAATGGAGAACCAGGTGTCCTCGTGCGCGCGTTATATGATTACGAAGGTGCCGAGGCAGATGAACTTAGCTTTAAGCAAGGTATTACATTCAAAAAAATATATATATATAGTCTCAGTTTCATTTTTGATATACAGTTTTATCACTTTTCCTGTAATACTTCGCAGGCGATGTATTCGACAAGTTAGAAGATGAGGACGAGCAAGGATGGTGTAAAGGACGAAAAGACGGCAGAGTAGGTCTCTATCCTGCAAATTACGTAGAACTTGTGTCTCCGTAAAGCTACCGCATAACGCCAAATCACATGAACATTGTTAGTTACTTAACACGCAACGCGTACGAAAGAAAAGGAAAAAAAACGAATTTTTATTTTGTTGTTTATTTCTATACAAAAAATAGCAAGCTCGTTAAAAAAAGAAAGAAGAAGGAAGAAAATTTATAAATGTCGTTGAACAAGACTCTATATTAGGAAGATCGTTCATTTCGTGTGATATATATGTATAACAAGCGTTGGGAAGAGACAAGAAAAATCTTACGATTCGACGTTATGATCGAAATTCGAAGAGAGCTGTTATAAGCAGTGAGAAAGAAAAATTGCGTGCATCTACTTCATTCTGTTTCTCAGATCGATGTAGAATCGACAAGATAGAACTTAAAAAGAAAGAAAAGAAAACGAAACTCTTGCCCCTGATGGGTAGCTGATTTTCGTAGCTTTATATCCATCTTTATAAATTAGTGCTAAACGACAAGATGGATACATACAGATACACCATGAGTATATTGTAAGTTTAGATTTTTGAGATAATGTACAATTTCAAAAAAAAAAAAAAGTTTCAACTCATTATTAGCATCGTTGCTATGAAATATTTTGGCGAATGCGACGAAAAGTATATTTAATTTATTGTTATTCAAATGATACTATTAAAACCTATTCTTTCCGAATGGTATCGTTGTATATAATAGATTTAAGAACGTAATGATATGTAAAGTTGCAATTGTTTAATGAAGTTGAGATTTTATGATGTTCGAATCAGCAAGAAATGCGAAGGAGAATGCGTCGTAAGTACATGAAATGTACCAAACGAATAAATTTGGGACCCAGAATTGCCCAATTTTTTCTTTTTTCTGTTTCTTTTTTTTGTTTAATAATTACAATCTTTTATTGTTGAAAAAAAAGTTGGAAAATTATTTATAAGAAATAAAAAGTTATGATACTATGAGAATATTTGCGTTATGAGAAGTTTTCGTCATTAGTTAATGTGCTTTTTGTACATAATTTCTTATATGGAAGCAATGTTTAATGATCGTTTATGAGAAACTGCAGTCGTAATATCTTTTTTAATTGAAAAATTTTATATGAAATGAAATATATAATACTGAAGATATTTCATATAATCATTACTCATTTTCTAATAGATGTAACTAACATGATGATGTATAGATGATTGAAAAATTGGAAGTGAAAGCGCAAAATTGTTAAATTTTAATTATTAAATACGTTCTTTCGTATTACAACAAATTACTTACTGTTAAGTTAATCGATGTACTTTCATGAATACATGCTTTCAAGAAATATTTGTAGTATATAGACGCTGTTTTAAGAACAGAAACAACACTGCGGAGTAATTAGAAAACCGAACGAACTATAGATGCGAATAGTTCGAGAAAGAAAGCATTTATAATTTTCGACGAGACAAATCCGAGAGTTAGCACTAACGAAGTCATTTCTTATTTAATAAGGTCTCTTTAATTTTGCAAACGCGCTCAGATGAATCAACTTACAAGTCAAGTTTTCATGGTATATAGTGATAAATGCTAGTTATTCATCACGAGTAAATAACGTGTCACTATACACAGTATTTATGTAAATATAGTAGGAGTATAATAACATTTACAATTCAGCCAGCGACTGATTTTTGTAATTGTTTACATCATTAGTCCTCCAAATTATTTTCTGTAAAGAGTGTTCGCGATTCCATGATTGTTAAATAGATTATAGTTTGTGTATAAAATTTATTATGTATAACTTAATAAATAGCATATATACGAAATATTACATAATACATCAGATACAGCGACTGTTTTCACTTATAAATACGCGTCGATACATTTTCATAAACGCCAGTTAAGTTTACAAACAATTGTGGTATAATAGACTCGTATCATGGCTACAAAAATGAAAAAACTCGTACATCATTGTTTCAAGAAAAGAAATTACTGTAAACAGTTTTTTTGCTGCCGTAGAAAAGTCATATATTTGCATATTCATTAAATTTCATACATACTAAATATCACTGAAAAAAAACAGATTAAAATTTATACACGACGCTTTTGATTCCAATCTAATCTAATAAATATTACGGAACTTTTATATTACAAGTTTTGTCATATGTTGAAAATAAAATTATATACGATAAATACACGTAATTTCGATACAGTCATATATACATATGAAATATTAGCTTATTATATAGCATATGTACATATAGATGAATCGTTTCTAATTTGTGAATAATCGTATACAAAAATAATGACCACCATCAATGATTCTAAAATTATAGATGCATCTTATGTTAGGAATATTAGCATCGTTCAGAAATAATATAAGCACAATATAATCCAAGAGATATTTAAATCGAGAAGCAACGTATACACGAAGCAGCGTACTTAAAAAAATATTTTTAATATATTTGTACATATTTATATTATATTAATGAAAAAATTTTGTTGATCACATAAATGATAGATTCGAGAATCGTTACATACGTGTGATAACTTAATTCTCAGTCTATACGTTTTAAAATGAATAACTTTAAAAAAGCTATTATATATTAATGAGTAGCAACATGTTTCTGTAAATCCTCAAGACTTGAGAATGGTTTATCACATAATTGACAAACATGCGCATTTCCATTATGTATATCTATATGTTCAGACAAATCCTCCTCTGTTTCAAATAATTCATCGCAAATCATGCACTGAAATTCGTAAGCTTTTATTCCTTGTTTCTCCCATTCTGCTATAGCAGCTTCCTCCTCGTGAGCTTGCATGTGCATTTCCAATAACATTTCCGAATTAAATGTTTCTGAACACTGCAAGCATTGATAAGCCTCCTCCTTCGATTTGTCATTTTCATTAGCGATACTAATTAAATTAGGATTATCATCCTCTTCATCGAATAAATGTTTCTCTACGTGTGCTTCCAACGCATCTTCAGATTCTAACGAATCACCACAAATTGCACATTGATACTGTTCTTTGCCAGGGCTTTGGTCACCCTCGCTCACATCGTCACAATGCTTTTGCAAATGATCCTTCAATAATTCCTCGTCTGTAAATATTTTATCACATACGAAACAATTATATGTTTCCTTTGGTTTTTCTGCTCCAGAACCAGTATCTGCTTTTCCTTTGCTTGTTCCGATTTTCTCATTGCTTAATCCTGTCCCCGAATTCTCTGTCTTTGTAGCTAGATAATTATCTACTTTCGAAGATTGACCTTTTTCTGACTTTAAATATACTGTGTCTTTGGAAGTCTGCGATGTATTTGCAGTCGTTATCTTCTGAGATTCTCCCTTTGTTATATTTTCTATTGTAAATTCGGACTGATCATGGCTTTCCAAATGATGTACCAAAAGTTTCTCTGTTCGAAATGTTGAATTGCATACGTAACATTTATGAGTTTGTTGCTTCGTGGATTTACACACGTGAGCCTTTACAAATCTGGCTTCTACTATTTCGTGACATCTTTTACATCGCATCATTTTATGTTTATTGTGTCGTGACATAGTCTCTGTTTTATGCATACGAACATGTGCCGCGGCATCACTACGACTAACAAACGACTGTTCACATACACCACATATATATTTCTCACTGTGCGATGAGGTGATTTTAAAAATATTCTCTTCTAGTTTATGCTCGCTTTTAACATTGGAATCCACAATTTTCGATTCCTCTGTCTGTTTGAAAACTTTATTATCTTGTGATTTTGGTGTATTATTATCTGTCCTAGATGCTTCGGAAGTGTCTTCCGATAAATAAGAATCAGAATCCAAAGCGGAAGTATTGTAGTCATTATATCTTATTGGCGGTACACTTTGTCTTTTGTGAGAAACCATACTAAATGGCCCGCCAAGTTTATTCTTAACTGTACGTTTAATTAGAACATGCATGTTATTAATATTTCGAATTTTACTTTCTTTCTCTACGTCCAAACGCTTTAATACAATTTTCGGTTGATACTTTTTGGAATTCAATGCCTCTTTTACGAACGCTGGCGACACTCTTCCAGCTGGTTGAAAATATGAATTAAAATCAGTGCCGCAACTTCTCATCAAAGACGATTCGAAATTTTTCTTTATGGTCTTTTCTACGATAATTTTTAATTGTTGATCCAAGGTTTGATACGAAGTTTTATAATCGTGTACTATCTTATCTTTTTTTATATCCTCGTTATTTGTTCTGAATAATTTCTGTTTTATTTCTTTCTCTACGAAACTAGCTAATTCAATTTGTACGTGCTTTAGTGCCTCTATTTCTGTTCCCTCCACTTCTATATTCAGACATCTTTCGACACATTTTTTGCTACTGGCGTCGATCGGAACTGGATTTATTCTACGAAGCTGCACAGCATCGATAATATCGGTATTCTTTTCTTGAGAATTTTGTTCAATATTACCATTCTTGAATTCCTTCGATAATGTATTTAAATTCTCCTTATTCAAATAATGAGATTCCGCGAGCGTTAATGTAGAAGTAACGACGTACGTAACACCTGCAACTTCTAATTCTGATTTTACTGAACACGGTGAAAATTTATCTTCAGTTATTTCTATTTCATCTTTTTTTGATGATTTTCCTTGAACAACTTTTTCTGGCAGTGAATCGGGAGAAATTTCTTTTTCCTTTTTGTCTTCGGGAAATTTATTTTTCTTAGCTTTATTTTGTTCAATACTTTTCTTCGCAGATATATTTTTTCCTTCGATTAAAGAAATATCAGAATTTTTGTTTCTAAGAGATCTTGTTCTATGCGCATCGGAATCGCTGTCAATACTCATAAAATCATGTTTATATTTGTCTGTCAAATTGGTTTCCAAATTCTTCAATTCTCTGGCTAATCTTCTTTGCTTTTCGACCTCTTTATCCATATTTGTTTTTGCTCTTGCTTTCTGCACTGGCGATAGCTGCGTATCGTCCGAAGCCATAGAATCTGTATCTGAAACACTTTCGCCAATCGCTGCAAGAAGAGCCTTTTTCCTTGCAACCCACCTTTTAGTCGATGCCTTCCTTCTTTCAGTTATATTACGTCTTCCAGTTAATAGTTTAACCTTCATTGGTACTGAGGTTGGCGTTGATTGAATATTATCTTTATTCTCTTGCCCTTTATCGTTTTTACATTTATCGTCATTGGAAGCATCATAAGGTTTTTGTGAGGAATCCTTCGAAGATGTAACATCATCTTCAGATATATACATATCCTTAAGTATCGTTTGATCCGTTATATTATTCGCATTTGTGACCTGTAAAGGTATTAGTGGTGGTACATCCGTTTTTATTTTTTTCTGAAATAAATTCCCCTATGAAACTATGCTGTGAAAAGTATGAGAAATAAGTAATTGGAATTACCTTATCAAAAGAATCAGAAAGACTGTCTTCTCCACTCTGTTGCAAGTTATTGCATCTTTTGGCCTTTGGATCCTATGATTACAAAATTACAACAAAATTATAATGATGTCAGAAACATTGATTATTTTGTTTGATTTAGATGAAATTTTTAAGAATGGGAAGAATATCTAAAACTTATCAACAAAGCTATTAGCTATTATTAGAAAATTTATGTAGAAAAATTATTTCTCTACATATGAAAATATATTCTTCTATAATTCTTTATTGTTGAATTTTCTATTATTCTAATTAAGTATTCTAACAATGTTCTAATATCAATAGAATCTATTCCCTACCACAATGTTTTTATAATTTAGAAATTTTATCAATATCTTCATATATAATAATTAACGCGAAATTATTTTATTAAAATTGTAAAATAACAGCATTGATTCTTGCTGCTTTAAATTCTAAGATCAACTCAAGTACATACGTAATCAAAGCTTTGAGATTAAATTAACTGAAATTACTTTTAAAAAAAAATTATCTTTGTGTTGAACAATCTCACCTCATTATCAGAAGTTTCTCTAAGTTCCAATTGGCTTAACAACATTTGATTTGACCGTATAAATTGTTCTTTAAATTCACTCCACATTTCCAATTTGTAAAGGCATACGTGACATATAATATCAGGCAGGCCATGTTCTTCTTTGATCTGAAAAGGAAAAATACTCTATTATAAGACAACAAATAAAAAGATTGTGGAATTAATTACCAAAATAAAGAGAGATAGTATAAACATACATTGACAGAGGTACATTTAGTCAGATCATGCAGTTTTGATTGTAGAACTTCATCAAATAAATTAGTCATACATCCATGTTCAACTAGGCAAATACGGCATCTTTCTTTTATATGTGGTAATTTTCGTTTTCGCGGCATTTTTTCCTAAAATATAAAACGCAATTGCACCTAACTATACTGATACTGAACACTCTGAACATGTTACGAACTATGGCGGATCCATCGATACATAGAAGTATCGTTAAAGTGAAACTTGCAGATACATTCAAATCATTAAGAAAAATCCCGCGAAAATTTGTATTCGTTTATTGTAATATAAAAGTTTTTCTTTAATATTTTATATATTATATATTATTATTATTGTAATATAAAAGTTTTTCTTAAAAAATATTTTATTGTTATAAAAATGTAGTGGGAATAGAAAGTAGAAGTGTAAATTTGTGTTTAATCTACGAAAAATGTATAAATTACAGTATTTATTATTGAAATAAATTAATGGAGCTACAAATTTACAAGGAAAATCTAATAATTATTGTAAATTTACACCTCTATTAATTTATTACAATAATAAATACTGTAATTTAAAGCAATTTTACTGCAAAAAATGATTGTCAACTCTCTTCACCAATGTCATTGTTAAAAGAGCAAAGTATATCTGTTAGAAAATTATCTATGTATCTGTGTACAAAAATCTATCTACTTTTTATCGATAGATATTCTTTACAGTTCGAAATTGTTTAAGATCGTTAATCACGTTTTGAATAACGCGCGTACATTATTTCAATTTCCGCGCCATTTTAACTGACAAAGGAGCCTTTCGCTCCAGCCAATGAGAGAGCAGCTGGACGAAGCGTTGCGTTGGCGGGAACCAAGCTTCAGTCACGCATCAGAAAGCATGGCGTCAAGATATTGATTCGTTTGATGTGTAATTTTTATTATTGTGTTGTGTTTTCATTATTTTGTTATCTTTTACGGATTACCATTAGGTTCGTTTAAGTAATACGCTCTCAGTTAGTTGTTTATTAAATACTGTCATAGCAATATTAAATAATTTGTCGAGCTTCTATTACTAGCTTATGCTATGAACTTTTGAGCTTATTTAAAACATGATTTTAATATTATTGGTTTCAGTTTTATAAATTAACTAAATTGAATATCTGGTTTCGTTTTGCAGATTATAAACTGAATGCTGAAATCATCTCGAAAAATCATGATTTGTAAACGACATCATTTCAACTTTGCTACACACTTGGCAATGTTTCATTTATTGTTGTGAAGATAGATGTAAGTAACACATTTAAAATTATTTATTCGAGCAATGCAACACAATTATTTTAATTAAAATATAGCGTTCAGTTAACGAAGTCAAAAACTAATACAACAGTAGTATAACTTTTGTATCCTATAAAAGATACATAAATTGCAATAAATATGAAAAAATTGTCGGTTATAACTTGTGTCGTTGGAGAAATTATTTTTTAAGTATTGAATATTATCATTATTTTTATTCAATCATAATCCCTTACAATTTTAGTTTATACTTTATTTAATTTCAATTTATTCCAGTTGCAATTTATATTTTAATTTATTTAGCGCAGAATTATATTGCATTATTAGTATGTAGCATGGAACTTGAATAGAAATTTGTTTCATCTACTATACACGTATATGTTTTATATATTTCATGCATTTTTACATAAATGTATAAGAATCGACGGTCCAATAACAAACTTAATACACGTGGTCAGGATTTACATCGTTTATTGCAGAAGTAGCCTCGTAAGCTAATCGTTCTGCCTCTCTTTGATTAGCAATTGCTGCGTGTTCCTCGGCTATCTTCTGATACAGTTGAATATGTTTGTCCTTCGCTCTCCCCACACTCGCGGAATCCTGTAAAATGTTGTACATACACGATGGTCAGGTGAAAGCTACCGTTTCGAATCATCACTAGTGATGAAACTGAGTCCCGATCGAGTATACATGTTTGTTCACACGATTGACAATAGACCAGTAAAAATTTTAAGAGAATTTTAACTCAATATAAAAATATGGATTCTATTTGCGAAACAAAATTCATAACAATAATTAACCAATTGTATCTGCAATTTAATTCCTGCCAAAGAAGTAATAATCAAATGTTTGTTACCCGTGGTAAATTGACCGGAACGCCGTGAGAATTTGCCTCGGCAATTTTCTGGTACAATCGGAAATGTTTTTCCTTCGCGAGTCTCACAGCCTCAGAATCGATAGGTTGAGCAATCGTGTCTTCGTAATTTATTAATGATGCGTGAAATCCAGTTTCATCGGCTGCGTATTGCACTGTTCGTACTTTGTGCTTCGGATCCACGAAGGAATAAGAACCTAAAAGACAAATTAACATAATAAATTTCACGAAATTATTAAATTTTGTTGGATCGGTCAGAATTTCAAATTCAAGCTTGTACTATTTTAACGTGGCAACTCAACAATTGGAAGATATTAGAAAATTATAAAATAGTCAGATGGATTTAAAAAATTAAATATTAAAATTAAAAAATGTCGAAATTAATTTAAATGAAAAGTACATTTAGTGTATTTGAATATTTTATAAATTTTCAAATGTCACGTACATTGTTGCATCTGCAAATTTCGTCACGAATTCAATTACGATTAACAAGAATTTCATAATTAAATAATTACCTTGGACACGTCCACTGCCATCTCCAATTTCTTGATGAACACGATCTACGTTTCCAGGATATCGTCCTGCTTGATATTGAAATCTGTACGGTCTAGGAGGTGGCGGTGGAGTGGTTGTAGTCGTCGTAGAATATTCTGACAAAAGATGCGATACGTCCCCCAGGCAGGGGCTAATCAGAACGATTGCGATCTGATTCGAAAGTATAGTATTCTAATTAGCTACGTTGATCGCTTAACTGTCCAATTGAACGAGAAATTAACTAACAATCGTCATGTGTCGGATCTATACGTGTACGTAAGTGAAATGCCAAACCGATTACGGAATCGTCTGATCGCATCATGCAATAATAACTCTGTCAATAAGAAAAAGAAATCATCTTCCTCCCAAAAAACGTAATGTTCATAGTTTTCACGCTTTTCTAGTGTTTTACAAGTTTCACCTAACAAAGTTGTGCTTAACTGAGTGAAAAATTATTTTACATTGAAATTAATTGATGTAAACTGGAACAAAATAGCTCACAATCAGAATATTTCGAAGGAAATTAATGCATAAAATTAGGTAACATTTTTATCGCATTTGTAGAGAATTTTAAAGTACAAAATTGCACAGAATGCGTGTTATACAATAAAATATTCGAAGCAGTGGGTGAAGCAAGTTTTTTTATCAATCTTCTATCTTTTCAATTATCTTCACGAAAATATGAACTTGCAGAAAAATCCACGATTTATAACAACGACATTGATATTGATAACGTGACGATTACATTAAATGCGGTGAGATTGATGTACATACCAGCAGATTCTTCATCTCAGCTGTTGTACGTCGATAGTCTCGTATACGCGAATCGACATAAACTGAGATACTCTGCCAGTGAAAGTAATATAAGAAACTGACGAAAAGGTGGAGGCAGTACGTGTTGAGCCTGTTTTAACAGTGGCGCTTCTTCAAACGCAGTAAACGTATTCCGTCGTATTGGCAATTAAATGGAAAGTATAGTTGATAATAAAATCGTAATGTCGAAATTATAGGAGAGCTAATGTGAAACAAAATATAAATGACGAGTACAGTACAAATTAGAATAAAGTCAGAGTCTCTCTGGAATAAAATTAGAAATAAAAGAAGATTTATATCAATTTATTCATAAATTTTCTACAATTCAGATCCTCACGAACCTCAAAGTGTTTGTTTAAATCAATATTAAAAGTTCAATCAATTTCGAGCTTCTTGAAAGTTCCTTCGACTCCAAACAGATCGGTCGCTGTTTTTCCTTTACCTGGCCGCAGAGATTCATTAACGCGCCTCGTTCGTTCTTCCTCGAGAAACCAGTCGCGATTTTCCTCGAGCATCTTAACCGCCTTTTCATGCAGTTCCATCAGAGGACCAGCTTTTCCACCTGTTTCGTTCGGTAGTATGTCTATCGGTATGAATTTCGACACCGTGTCCAAATTCGTGTGCGTGTGAAGCTGTAACAAATTGTTTGATATAATCAATTGATAGATGATAGAGAAGCGTGACAGAAATACATCATTTTAGATTAAATCAAACATTGAAACGTGACTTAAAAATTGTAGGGTTTAACATAAATCTTAAGTTTTAGAGATTTTGAACTGTTCAGGCCGTTCAAGAAGTCTTACGAATCTCTAAAATACTATATTAAAATTTCTACTATATTTTTTCAAGCTCTAAAATTTTATAATTAAATTTAGCGGGTGTTTATTTAAATTAATACTTTCGTGAATTTAATTTAAAAAGATGGAAGCTAAACAGTAAATAGTGTTTCATATAATTCTGAATACTGTATGGATTGTGCAAATTTTCCACTAAATATCTACACAGTCTACTCACAGTACTTCTGTATTAAAATAATTATCGTTCCGTTACCATGTCCAACAATTCCTTCTTCATGAATGGTTTCATCATATTCAGTATCACGTCCATCACGCTCGTAATGTTCATGAAATGAAACCCTTTCAAACGAACTGGCAATGCCTCTTGCAAATAAAACAGATACTTCTTCAATCCCATCGGGTTCAATCGAGCACAATGGCCAAACACAACGTTCTTCATATCGAATAAAATTATGTGCCCCTCTGACGTGCCTTCGCTGTGAAGCCACAAGTCAAGCATCATGCTCAAGAACTTCATCCCATCGTTATAAACATAATTCGAGGGCTCAGGGTCGATCAATTTTCCATAAAGAATCGCGTAACCTTCTGGTGTCTTCTTCTCCAAAACTTGAATTGTGCTAGAAAAAAAAAAGTCCAATATTGCGAGAGTTAGTCGAGAGAATTCACATTTATCGATTTATTAAATATTGTTGTAATTTTATTAAAAATTACTTTGAAATTTCGTTTTCAGGAGGAAAAAAAAATTAGAATTTCATTCAAATCGATATTGTATGCAAATATATTTCGCGAGTTGCTTTTTGCAGATTTTTCTCAAATATTCGGAATAATGTTATGGTAACTGATTGTGAGACTATATTTAGACAAAGTCTTTTCGTTTTTATTAGCTTGAAGATTCTGTGCGTGCAATTGGTAATTAAGTGTAATTTTATACGTAGTACGGGATAATTAAAACGTGGGAATTAAAAACAATGACTGAATGAAAATAAAACGTATATGACATTTGTTAGGCAATCTCAGCACTGAATTCAATTTGCATTAATAATTTTATGCACTAATATGGTCGATGACTAAAACTTTAACTTAAAAAAATTATGTACGAAAGGTATATGTAATAATATGTAATGCAAACTTCGAAAAAATCTTCAAATTTCCAAAAATGAAAATTTATTCAGCATTGATTTTTTGTTTAGCAATTAGTTTTTCAACATTCTGATTTTCGAAGTTCTGATGTTAATAGTTCTAGTATTCTAACAGTTTCAGAGTTCTATTAGTCTATTAATAATTTTAATAACAAATGCTTCAACGCTAATATTCCAGCACATTACAGTTATTAATTTTTCTTTTTAAAGGAATTCAGTAATTAGAAACACTTACACTGTTTGGAAAGATTTTCTCAATTCCTTCGATCCCAGGGGATCTCTATTAGAAAAGAATTCGGGAACGTGAGTTCTCACAGTGAAATACGTATCGATAGTCGCCTTCGTGGGTTCCATTCGATAATAATTACTGTGTAAAAATAAGGCCAATTCAGCGTCTGTTAATGGCGGTAGATGTGGCTGTTTTTTGTACCAATCTCTCAACATTTGCATATCGTCCTCTTTCAAATCTGGATTCTTCTTCAACTCTTCCTCATACGTAATACCTTTTACCGCCATGTCTGAATTCCTTGAAAAATTCGAAAATTTCCAGAAAAAGTTCGCTTCTTTGAACTTTCTTTTAAACAAACACACAGAGCTAATTTTTATTGATGTAAATTCGTGAAAAATTTCAGAGAGGATTTCCCATTGAATTTTGTAAATTTTCAGCTTCGTAGAGCGTAAAAAGAATCTTTTGTAATATAAGTTTTACTTTAATCTTATAGATACGTATCATTAGTACGCAGAAATATTAATCGATATAATTTACTTTAATACAGTAATAATTTTAACACGCAAAATATATAACAAGTGCTCTGAAGATATTTAACTGAAAACTGATAAAAATATAGGACTAAACTTCTTTTTGGGACACCATTTTCTCTTTAAACTATTTTTGTATTTTCTGATCTAATTAAAGTCTTGACTGTCTGATCTAATTAAAATCAAAAATTACTATAAAAATATTTAAATTTTGCTAGTCTCAGCTTACTTTTGATTGTTTCCGCCCAAAAAATGGTGCACCAAAGCGAAGTTTCAGCACTGTTGTACAGAGATAAACTTGTTTCCTTAAGATCACCACAGAGCGGCGGTTCGGACAGTACTAACTTCCATAGAGACTGAAGTGCAATCAAATGATGGAGTTATTATCGGATAATCACGTGTAGCGTGACAGTTGAGGTCGTCAGATGTGCTAAATTATATATCTCGACGTGACATGAAAATTTTTGTTGAAAATGATTATGTTGAAAGATTTTGTGAAAATAGATATATTTATATAAAATAGTTTCTAACGTGTAATAGAATTTAAATGTGTAAATATATAATGGAATATTTATATATATGCAGATAATAAATTTCATATTTTTACATTGTAGAAAATATTAGGAATTAAGAGAATTAAATTAAGAGGTCTGTTAAATAATTAGAGAATATTAGATATTTAATTAATAGTTGAACAATTCAATGAGTAAAAATTAATAGTTGAACATTCAATTAATAAAAATGAATAGTATAATTTTTGTATATGATAAATGGAAATTCTATTCTATATTTTAAGATGTATAAAATTTTAATAAATATCGTAAAAAGTTCTTCCCTTCTCATTCTGAGCAAGCAAAAATTTATAGTCATGATAAACTGAATAGAAATAGAATCGTGACGAGGGAGAATTTGTTCCATGACATTGTAAACAGGAAATTATCATTAAACGAAATTGTTAGGTTATGAATATCAAAGTTGGACGTTACAACAATGCACATGAGATGTAACATTGTAAGTAAATTATTTAATTGAAAAAAAAAATGGGAAAATTATTTAGTTATCTAATATCTATTATAATTATTTTTCGAGTATCCTGTCATTCTTTTTTTTTTTTTTTTTTTCTTTTAAAAGAAGAAGAAGAAAGAAAGGCATTAATTTTTTTGAAAGAAGGTGATTTCGAATAGTAAATTACCCAGATTTTATTGCCCATAAATTCATGAAATATTCTTGAAATATTAACGCACAGTAATTGGTACAATACGTAACAGTATAATTAATCATTCACCTAAAGGCTTTTATTAATGACTAAACTTTAATTGCTAACATACATTTACCGTAAACGCTTAATTTAACAAATTACTGTTATACTTCCGTATTAACATAATATTAATTATTGTCTATATATATTTTATGCTTTCAGATTTGTGTAGCGAATTAATTATTAATAAAAATGACAATTAATTATCTTTAATTATTAAAGTTAGAAAGCCTTCTGAATTTTTAAAGTTCTTATATAATGTTAATCATATAATATGTATACGTACATGTTAATTATCAGTGAGGAAATTTAGTCAATAAAGTTGTTGCAGACATGAAAAATTAAAAAGAAGAAAACAGAACGCGTACATAATAGCAAACCTTTATTAATCTTAAAAAATACACATAACAAATTATTTTCTTGGAACTTAAATGTAAAGAAAGAAATTTTATTTCACAAGATCATGAGAAGGAAATTGTTCACTGAATAAAAAAAATAGAACAGATACTTTCTCAATCTATATCGAGCTTCTTGAAAGTGCCATCAACACCAAATAAGTCATTGGCAATATTACTTTTTCCAATACGGAGTGACTCGTCCACCTTGCCACATTTCATTTCTTCAAGGAACCACTCTCGTTTATTGTCGATTTCTTTTATTCGCTCCTCTTGCATTTGAACTATCGATCCGGCTTTCCCTCCAACTTCGTTTGGTAAAAGATCGACAGACAAGAATTCTTCTAGTGTTTTTGTCGATGAGTGCAGGTGTACCTAAAAAAAAAAAAACCGAAAGAAACGTAAAAGCCTCTATCGAAGAATTTTTAATTGATTGAATATAATCAATCTTTTAATTTAAATTAAATTAGATTGAAGAAGTTAAATTTAATTTCCTAGAGAAAAGGCTTTTTAGTCTAAATTAATTAAATTACGTAAGAACGTAAAATTAAACTTTTTAGTTCAAAATTCGTTAAATTTGGGGACTTTTAATTTGAGATCTTTATTTACTTCCATTTATTTGAACTCACGATATGTTATCAATAAGTTGAATTGCAATTTAAGATTTAGAAAATAATTTTAAGCGCAAAAAGAAGTTAAGATATTATATTTGGAAGATTTCAAATGCTACTATCAAATATAGTACATACTTTATCAAATAGAAATTAAGAAATGTAAAATAAAAGTTATTAATTATTGATTACGATGACCAGAAAATTATCATTTTACGTAGAGTTTAACATAAATAATTATTTTATTTTACGTAAGACATCGCGAAGACAAATAACACGTTCTCATAATAAATGAGTGAAATATCATAAAACATCTGGAATGAATCATGCAACGCACACACATATATGCATTTTGAATATCTTAAATGCAAGTATTCAATTTGTTAATTTAGCTTGATAAAGTATTGTAACAAAAATTTTGATCTCACTCGTGCAGTATCAAAGTATTAAAAATATCGAAATTGAATTTTATCCAAAATTTGACAATAGAAATAGAAGAATCTCTCACAATATTCCACAATTCGTTTTTCATAAATGGCCTCGCCATATTCATGATGATATCCATCACCGACGGACAATTAATAAAATGTAGACCCTTTAGACGAACAGGTATTGCCTCTTGAATATACATCACAAGTTTCTTCAGCCCCATTGGACTTAGTCGCCCTACGTGACCTAAAGAGACGTTAGCCATGTCCGCGATAAACAAGTATCCATCGCAGGTGCCATTTCTCAAACCAACCAAATCACACTCCATGAAAATGTACTTGTTACAATCCTCGAAGGAAAAATGCGACGGGTCGGGGTCGATTAATTTTCCGAATAGCAATTTGCAACCTTGCTTCGAGAGGCCAGACAATTCAGCGCAAAATCTGCAATGCAGAAAGAAAAATTGGTTCTCATTAGCGGATCTCAATAATTAGTATTTACGTAATTATTATTAGACTTATGGATGTTTACGCATTTATGAGAAAATATTCAATCGTTGCTATGTAACGTGCAGGTAAAATTTCATAATTTAAAAAGTAGAAATTGTTTCACGCACTAAATATTATAGAGAGCAAATATTGTTGAAACAAATTCGAGTATTTCTTTTCACATATGATACTTTTCCAGTTTGCTAAACTTTCGAAATTTTCCAATTGGTCCACAGATATTTTTGTTTATAAAATTTCAGAACAATTGAAATCACCGAATTGAAAATCAAGAACTCACACAACGTTGAACGTCTGCCGTAATTCCTTCGATCCAAGGGGATCTCTGTTATCGAAAAACTCCGGGATGTGAGATCTGATAGTGAAAAAGTTCTCCGCGGTGTTCTTCGCTGCCTCCATGCTGTAATAATTGCTGTGAAGGAACATGATGAGATGCAAGTCCGAAGGCTTGGGTAGATGTTGCTGTTTGTCACACCACTCTCTCAGCATTTCGATATCCGACATTTTCACCTCCGGATTCTTTTTCAGTTCCTCTTCCAAGGAGAAAGGATAGGGCAAAGGATAGGGCATTTTCTTGTTAGCCATCTCTCTTCGTTTCACTATTTAAACAAGTCGCAACGAAAGAACAAATTTCTCTCAAGCACGAAAATACGATCCTCGTTGTCGAATTCTTGAATGTTTGTCGATTTTCTGATTGTCAGATTTGCAAAATTCTGACGAGAATTTATATTTTCGTGGACGTAGCTGGAAAAAGTAGGATTTAGATAGAAAGTTTTTAATGATTAATAGAATAACTTTGTTGATCTAATTAATAAAATTAATGATACTTTTAGTATTTACTATTTAATATACGTGATATTTTTAATAGTTATTAATTTTTGATCTTTTAATAGTTATGAATTTTTTAAATTTTTAGTAATATAATATTCTTAATATTTTACATACTCTCGTATGTTGTAAGCATTCTGTATATTTTCGTGTCTTTAAATCCGCAATCTACCGATCACTAGCTCACCAATAATTTCACTAGCTCGCGATCGATCAAACGCGGAAATCACGCACCGTCCTTGCGAACACGTATCGTAAATAAAAAAAACGTATCACTGATCGGTCTAGAGTCTTAACGAAGACTGAAAGGAACACTGGACGCCTTGATTTTTAATTCAGACGGTAAAATTGATCGAGCTCTGGTATGGGTACAACGCGTGAAGCCAGGAGCATTAAGCTAACGCGTGGAGAACGTGCACGTTTCCAATTCGAGAATATCATAGTTTCTTCTTTTTGTGATTGGAGCGTGGAGGTACTGTATGGTGGAAGAACAGGATAATTAAGGTGAACAAAGCATATATTAGACTAAACATCGTTCTTGATAGCTTCGTTCGTGAATTACATGAACATCACTGTGCTTAAACATTGTTGGGACTCAATTTGTTGGAAGAAATTTTAGTCAACCCCTTGATATTACGAATTTGTTGCATTATGTAAACATAACTGGATTTTTCATGCATAATTTCTTATATGAGTTTACATTACATTTATGTAAAAAATATGTATTTACATTTATGTATAAAATAATAAAGTGAAACGTATTGTATTTATATATAAAATCATGAAACAGTAAAAGCTATTAACCAATTTAAGTGGGGAGACCCCACGTCTAAATTCGATAGACGCTGTAACACATAACGTTAATTAATTTTCACGAAGCATCAAGGAATTATGAAAGCATCCACTGGGATGAAAAAGGCATTCACCGATGCCGCAAAAGTTTCGCGACGCTTTCTAATTTAATCATTTTCTGATCTAGTTCCTCGTTGTTCCGCTTCGAACGTGGATATCTTGAAAAATATTCTTAGATATGAATGGACGAATTGTTAGGTAAAATAAATTATTAGAAGCTTACGAAATATAATAGATGAATAAAAAAGAAAAAGAAATAAATTTCGTTTCATATCGCTCATATCTGACAAGTTATCTTGAATCAAAAGTTTTTTTATTTTATTTTACGTTGAGAATAAAATAATATAACGGTTTGATATTACTTATTTTATCACGAAATTTTTGATCATATAAACTATACAAAAATGCGTAAAAGTAAAAAGTCCTACATTTAAGGATCTATATACGTAATTGTTCATTATCATGAAGAAATAATGATGTACTGTTACGCAACAATGTACAATACCAATAAATGACGCTAACAACATCTCTTTCAATTCTCTTCAACTTAAGTATTACCTTAAACGTGTTGCAAATTGAACGTTTAACGACGCTAGTAAGTAATTTTATCGTTTTAATGTAACGAACTTTAATTATCAATTTCCATAAATGATTTAATAACGAGTCCTCAATGCAACTGGAAAAAGGAAATTAAAAAGTAAAATTAACACGATTTTCTTGAAATTTTTTAATTAATTGCTTGCGTACGTGGGAAATTTAATTAATCAGATGTTCAAATTCTATTGCTATAGGAATTATATAATTATTAACATGAAATTATGTACTTAATATTACTAAGTACTTAATACATAAAGTACTTAATACTCTCTTTTGAGTAAAATTATATATTGATTTTGCTTTTTCATTTTTAAAAGTCAAGAATGAAGACTATTGTATTGTGGAAATATAATTAATGTTAAAATACGTGTAGAAATTATATAAATTCGATTGAGTGAAATAAGAATTTAAAATTAAACAAATTTAAAATTTCCCGCGCAGCAGAATGCGCGCTTTTTAGTTCCTCAGTTGACCACAGAAAACAATGGCGTCGCTACAGTGTATTTGATTACATTTCATCTACATCAACTCCGATATGTATACGAAAATCTTTCGAACCATAAGGAATTGTGTAAAGAATTATCAGGAAAGTTGTACGAACATTTCAAGCGAATTTAAACATATATCGTCTGTTTTGAAACTAGAATTTCTATAATTAGCGTGGTCGAAAATAATCGACTAATACGAATTAATGTACTATGAACCGTTTGGATGATCCTCCAAGTCTCATGAAAGGCAGAAAACCATCTTTTATTGGAATGAACGGTATTTTGTACTATGTTTTTAAAATTCTTAATACTAGTGCAATATTTTTTCTTTTCTGAAGCATTTTCTATTTCGTTATTATTTTTCCACACTTGTCATTGCATGTATTGTTACAATTATAAAATATTTTGCTAGACTAAATTTTATTTTATGAAATTATAGAATTAAAGAGGAAAATTTCTTTCGTCTGTACATCTTAAAATTGAATTTCGTGACGTACAATAATTGTAACTCGTTCTACAATTTTTAGGTTAGATGCATGTAAGATCTAGTTATTAAATTTTGCTTCAAATTCATAGGAGGCCCAGAAACAGACGATCAACAACGCTTAAGATTTCAAGTTGAATTAGAGTTTGTTCAGTGTCTTGCAAATCCAAATTACTTAAATTGTATGTTGAACCATATTACCAACTGTGTTGGACAATAAATAGTATATGATCAATTAATATCAATAATTATTATTTCAGTTTTAGCACAACGTGGATACTTTAAGGATTCTACATTTATAAATTATCTTAAATATCTGTTATATTGGAAGGAACCAGAATATGCAAAGTATCTGAAATATCCTATGTGCTTGTACTTCTTAGATTTATTACAATATGAACACTTTAGGAGAGAAGTAGTAAACTCTCAGTGTACAAAGTTTATAGATGATCAGCAAATTTTATTGTGGCAACATTATACCAGACGTAGGACAAGACTGTTACAAACTGCAGCAGAGCAAACGCAACATGCAAATCCTCAGAATAATGGTATTGTACAACCTAAAGTTCCTTGAATGATATATGAGAAATTTGCTATTAAATGGGTCCATAAAAACTACAATATCAAAATAACGTTGCATAATGTTGTCTATAACTGTAGTTCCTTGTCAGAATTGTTTTAGTTACATTTTTTGGCTGTGATAAGTCACGAATAAAGTACTTTTCTATGTTCTCAATACAGCTGTGATTACACTTCTCCCTCTTTTCCTTCTATCTCTTGCTTACGTATCATTTACCAGAAGACTTAAATATGAAAACGTTGATTTAAATAAATGAGGAACATTGTAAAAATTCCAATAATAATAAGTATCAAGTTTGCAGAAGTATATTATCATAAACATTTTGTGAAAACAAACTGAAGTAAAGACCCTCCACTTGTAGAATCTGATTTTGGACAAATGATGCTGAAACATGAATAGCTGTTCATACATATTTATATCACTGTTTGTGCTTCAAGACTGGAAAAAGAGGGAAATTATCAAGGACAAGGATAGAAAATGCGAATTTTAATGATTTTTAGTAAGTCCATTTACTATACTCATTGATAGAATTTATTTCATTTCGAAACATTGTAAATCTTTTACACAGAATTTTGTGTAAACGAGACATTCATTTAGTAAAAGATGACAATAAAAGATGACTATACTTACGACAGAATAATAAGAAGTATATATCTATATGTAACAATATGAAACTAATCTTTATATTTAATCTCAATCCTTACGTTTAAAGTAATATAAGTAAATGTAAACTTTGGCACCTATCAGATTTATATATACAATTATTAATTTAATTATTAATACGTACGTATTTAATATCAATACAATAGTTTAATTTTACTTTTGCAAAATTTTTTCGAATTAATCTTATAATTGTATATACAAATATATTTATTTAATATACGAGTGATATATCTAAAAAAAGCTAATGAAAAAGCTATTACACGTTGTTATTTCAGCCTCTAAACTACAAATGTTCAAAAATGTGACTTGCAATTCATTGTTTTAACTTTTACGTATTATATAAATCTACTTTATATCGAGGTAATAACAATTGAATGTATCATGATTTTTTTTAAACTTTAGATACTAAACCTAACATATAATAAATATTTAACGGTATAAACTATTAGAATGGTTCAATCTATGTAAAGTATAATACACAATGATACATGTTCCTAAAAACGGCTATAAATTTATAAAAAATATTGCAGTTTCAATTCGTAAAATATTTTCCAATCATAGATTAAACTATTATTTTAAACTATGAAAAATATTCTTGAAAATAAATTTTCATGACAAATAATCACACTTTGCAACAACTGTAATGATCATTGAACTGTTGGTCGTGATACAACAATAGACATACGTAGCACTGATTTCTGCTAGATGAAACTTCATTCAGAATTTTTATTCTCAGTAAAGTTCACTAATATGCCATTTCCTGCGTCCACCCAGTCTTCAGAGAATAATTTTGCCCTAAGTATCTCCCTCTCAGAAGTATCTTCGACTGTATTCTCGTTGTTTAATTTTTCGCTCTTTTCTCTTCTTTTAACGATCAGCAATTCAGAATCCTCTGTGGTGTCAGGCAAAATTTGATTCAATGTTTCTGGTAAAATTAAAGCAAGTGCTCCAGATCCTAAGCAAAGCATTCCAATGATTATCAATGGAATAGTGACTGGAAAATACCCTCCCTGAAAACAAAGATTGCATATTCTTTCGTATAACTTCTTATTTAATATTTCTAAATAATTTACAGAAAATTTAATACATTAGAACGAAGAATGTTTTAGAGAGAAAGCAGAAATTCCTGTTTGATGGGATTTAATTCATGCTACGGTAGTTTTATACGTTCCACTAAATTAATAAATACAGTTTATATTCTAAATATAGTATGAAAATCTTACCAGTAATAGTACATGTGACGTGCACAAACTGCCGATTTTTGCGAAAACCGTGCACAAGCCTAAACAAGTTCCTCGTACCACAGTTGGGAATATCTCGACCGTGTACAAGTATGTTATAGAAACGGTACTTATCGCTGCTACTTTACCGAGCAAGAGCATAGTGATCTTCGTGAGATCTGGAAGTTAACTTTATTTTTAGAAGACCTTAGCTTTATACTTAACAAATTCTTTTTATCCTTAACTATGTTAATTAATCCAAAGATTAAATCAACTAAATATAAAATATAGTAGCTTTTCAAGAGATACGTAATTACATATTATAGTTAAAATTACGCACCGACAGCATTGTTGGGATTTGACAAGATAAGCACAGCCGCAAACAAAATGCAAATTGCACCGGTAATTGATTGATACGCTGACATCGGTAATCGTCTACCATATCTGGATAGTATGAAGTAGAGAAACACATAAGTTGCAACTTCTAATGCTCCCCCAAGTGCGTAATTTACGTGTCTGTTAATAGTAAAGCCAGGAACAAGCGTCATGAAAACATAATGCGCCACGGAAGAAGTGAAACTGAAAACAAAAAGATGGCAAGAAGTTCTATAGTTACATCTTTCTTAATCCTCAGAATATTCGTAAAAATTTAAGCCGCAAGATAGACAAATAAAAAATTTAGTAAATTCAATTTTGTTAATTAAAGTTGGTTAAAGAAAGAAAAGTCTTTACCACTGATAAATCATTACGATTCCATATTTTTTTAATGGCACAGATCTGAATAATTCCAACAGTTCCTCCTTCGTTTGAGCGTTACTAGACTTTTCCTCGATTTTGTGAAATTTCTCCTCGTCGTTTTTATTTGAGAGCTCTTCTTTCACCGGTGTTCGCAGCTCCACAGTATCGTACGTATCTTTCATGGAAAACCGTTGGTTTCCGGCCGGCTGCGATATCGATTTCGATTTCCGATGGCTCTTCGAACTTGACGCGGTGTTGCGCTTCTCTATTTCTCCATTCTCGCGTTGCACGGATTCCAGTTCTGATTCTGTTTTAGGAAACTTGCCTTGCAAGTTTTCAGAAATTGCTCTTAAACTAGTCTCTGGAATGTGTGTATATATATGTGTGTGTTAATTATAATATACATTTCTAATCATCAAGTAACAGTTGGAGTGAGGAATTAAATTTGTGTTTCGAAAATAATTAAACTATAATTGTACAATATCATTAATACGTGATGAGAAAAACAACAGACGAAATTTTTCAATTAATATTTCAACTCCTACTTTGAACTTTCTGTTGTGCCGCGTCAGCGTTGCTATTTAATAAATTCGCAGCTTCTTCTTTCATTTCGCTATCGGTTTTCGATTTCTTCAAATCTGTACATGAAACGCGCGACTTTCTCTCTGGCTTAACCGGCGTCGCGTTTTCGAGAACGTCCGCCACCGTTTTGGCATCTTCCCTTCGCGATCTGGTGCAGCACACATTGTACTTTGTAATACGCTCCACTGCCATATCTGCTTCCGTCGTTTTATCCTTTGCTAGCAACCACCTTGGCGATTCTGGTATCATCCTGGAAGTAATATTTGAGAAATATCAAATAGAAAGATAGAAATATTAATAAACATTTAAGAAAAAGTTTTTTCTTCCTCTTTTATTTTAGTAATTTGTACTGATAAGAATTTATTCCTATGTAGGATATAAATGATCAAAGATTGATTATTAATATTGTAATAATTGTAATAATAATGCTTGGAAAATTCATAGTGAAAGTTAAGAAAAGTGTAGCCATTTTGTATAACTTCAAATTATCATGTAATTTATTACACATTTATTTATTCATTTAATAAGAATAACTCTGATATGTCCATAAAAATTTCTATGTAATAGTTCAATTTTTTCCATTAAAAGTAATGATATTTACCAAATATAGAGGACAGTGATGGCAGTGGGAACCGAGACAGCTAATTGTAAGATTCTCCAATCGGGTATAACATAACTGAGCGCAGCCAGAAGTATCAAACCAATGGCCCATGCAATTTGCATAACCAGTGCAACGAACGTCCGCGCTTTCGCAGGGAACAATTCCAAAGAAAGAATGTACGTAGAGTTCTGTAGACCCTGGACGAACACTCCTTGTAATCCTCGAAGAGCCAAAAACGTAGGATAATTCTGAAACGGAACGCTTTATTCAATGAAGAGGAGGAAATTATTCTCGTCAATTTGCTGCTCATGCTATATTATATTATTTTACAATATCAAACAAATTAAATTGAAGAACTTCTATACCTGCACAACATATAGCGCAACAGCCATCGTGCCCTGAGTGTAAAGACAAATCGCTTGAACCGGAAGTCTTCCTATTCGATCAGCTAAAAGACCAGAGATCCAGGCGCCCATTAAAACCCCGACATAATAAATTGTCGGTCCAAGGAACGTTAGGTACTGTTTTTCACAGATTAAACTCCATTCCGTCACAACGCTACTTTCACCAAATTCGGTTGCAAATTGATACTCGCCAAGGCACAGGTTCGTAATCGAGGATTCCTTGAGGCCGGAAGTCTCATTGACTGCAACAGTCACGTTGCCAAGCTCTTGGCAACCGTACGTTCGTTTCGTCCCATTCTTCGCCTGTAACGTATAAATCATTCCAATGAAACACTGAAAACGTTAAGCATTCGATATTTAACGCTGAAACATTGAAAATGACTAATAGAAATTACAACGAAGAATTTAAATATAGGAAAAGAATTTAATTATAGGAATTAAAATTGCATAAACTTCTGTATAGTACTTCTTTTTAGAGTCATAAAATTATAAATAAAATTGTAACTTTTAAGAGATGTAATATATTTGGCAATTTCTCACGTAAAAAACAAAAATTGACCAATTAGTTATGTACGTGAAATTTTATATCATTTTCACAGTATAAAAGTTATGTTATAAAAGTAGTTGAGTAACTTTTCTGTAATTTATTTTCAGAGGTCTTTTATCATTTTGCTACCACGTGTAACGTATATAATTTGCTTTCACACCGTTCGCGCATATATCTACCTCCATTGAAAGGAGTTTCAAACTTCGTAGAAGACAAAAGTTAGTGAATTATTCGAGTTAATATTCCTAAGACATGTGTACTTCATTCACGAGTTAAATTCTTCGTATCCTATTAAGAATATTTAATAGTTCAAATTTCGCTAGCTGATAAATATTAATCGGAATTAATTTAATAAAAATTAATTTTTTTTAGACAAGCAAATACTAGAGAGAATTAATTCATTGAACTCACAGTAAAAGATAAAATAAAAATACAATCAGCAAATGAAATAGGTAACTATAATATATAATACACAATAATAATTAATAATAAATAACAAGAATAAACTGGATAACTTGGAGACAAAGGAAGCTTACCTGACAATAAAATTTAGGCGTATAATTGTGAAACACCGGGAGCGCGTGGCTCATGGCAACGATGACATAATTAATGCCAAGCAGCAACACGATCACTGTTTGAAAGCACCCAACCTTTACTTCCTCCGCATTCATCTCTTCCAATATATGATACTTCCTTTCACAATATCTCTTCTAATACTTTCTTTCACAGATTGAATCACAGAACAAAGGAATGTCTCACCAAATTCACTCAATTTATTCTCTATAATAATTCCAACCAAGCAAGAAGATAAACATTGAAATTCCAATTACGCGAGAAACGTGTATCCACTTATCCATTTGTAACGCAAGGAAAAGGAAGAAAGACACGTGTAAAAATAATTTGTTCGAAGAAAGAAAAGAAAAGTAGGAGAAAAATAGAACGCGAGCTTTGTTTCACGAAAGTTTGACGAACTGTTGTGTGCCACTGTGCGAAATGAACAAAATGGGAAATTCGTGGCAGCGAATGGAAGTTGTCGCGCAGCGCGAACAAAGTGTCATCGCTGAGGGTAAGGCACGCACTAACGGAGACAAGAGTCCTCTCTCTCGAAGGACAGCAAGCAAAGAGGAACCAATTCCTAGCGGTGGTGAATCAGACGAGGAGAGAAAACCGGTGGCTATTGTTTTACGGTGACACGTATCCCCATTAATGCACTCACGTCACGGGAAAACGATCGTCTGTCAATAATAATCGATTTTTAAATCGGTGTAACGTGAATTTTACACTTCTGAGAAATCATTTGACGACATGGTGTGAGAGTGTCGCCTTCCGGAAGAGTGTGGCGCGAAGAATATCACCAGAGGGTTGCGAAGCAAATATCAAAAGGGCATTTTGGTTTAAACGTTTTATATATTTTTCTATATTACAGTGTAAGATGTTCACTATGTAAAAGAAAACTATTTTCAGTGATACTTAAAAATGTGTATAGAAATATATATGATTATATACATATTATGTATATATGATTAGGAACACTTTACGTTCAGTATTTTATATATTTTTATATATTATATATATTTGTACGTTTAACATTCGCAAGCAGTTATGAAATCAGAGGGATGATATTTGCAAAAATTGAAATTTTATTGCTTTATTTTTACATTTATCTTAAATCTGTGTAAATATCGTATTGGCTACAATAATCATATTATTCGATAAAAACCCCAATACGTATTCTAAAAAAGAATTTTACTTTGCGCTATTCGTACCAAAGATTGCTCGGCGATGTGTAAAACAGTATTAAAAAACGTAAAACACGTAATATTATACCTGTCGATCGACTGATACGTGCAAATTCAAGTGTACAAACTGAGATAATAGGCTGACTGGGTCTATGAACTCTTGACGCACGTTTACTTCATTCTACATTCACCTGTATAGGTTGCAACAGAAAGTCTCATTGATAGGTATTGATCGTTTCATTTTACTGAATCGCTCTTCCCTGCAAAAATCTCCCTTACGGTCGAGCGCACGCCAAGTTTTAATTTATAATTTTATCTTTGCATGAATCATTATTCATTACGACATGCACTAAATTGCGTATTTATACTGCAGATTTTTGTTTCCCATTTATGGAAGACGAAAAGATACCAAATTATACAAGCTATACGCAAAGATATACAAAGTATCCGAAATATTAACGTACGTTACGAAACTTATGGACGAAACAATTTTTCACCTAATTTCCACTCTTTTAATTACATTAACTTTGATTATGTGAGCTGATAATATTAAATTAGACCTCGAAAAAGAAATTTCAAAGTCCAAAGGAACACATTTGAGATTAAAACACTTCGATTGAATTTTCAGCAAATCGCACTTAACAATGGACTCATTGTCAGCCGACAAAATGGGATATGCATGACACGCAATTTACTCGCCATAAAAAAGAAGAATCACCACCCTAAGCTCGGGGATCTTGAAAAGAGAGACAATATAAATATATCCGGTATGACGAGGACGAAATCAGTTGTCATGTCATAAATAAATGTAGAAAACATAGCCGGCGAGCAAACATGAAAATCTATCCGGTGACGTCTTCCATACACTATCCCATACTTAGTTATCTTGATGGAGGGGTGACCGATCGTCATAGTCCAGTCCGATGGTGTTTCCTTCGTTTCTGGAACTGTTTCTGTATGCGAAGAACATCACGTCCGGTCCCGAGCGCATCCTGCCTTTCATTACAGGCTCTCCCCGTGTGTTCGGTCGCCGATTCCAAAGGAAAACCCCGGTTGAATTCTCTCCTGGCTTGGCTGTCCTTCGTCATTCTCTCGCAAATCGAACTTCGTCATTAGCATCGTACGTCGTTGAGGTGATCGATCTGTACCTCGGTCATTGTCTCAGCATCGTTGCAATGAACGACTTTCATTTCCATTGAATCTTTTCGAAGCTCGATCAACAGATTGGTAAGTGGCAATCGGTAACGCGATTACATGGTACGGAATATAGGCAAGAAAGTGGCAATATTGAACATCTGTTGACACACATAGTTGTTTTAGAAATGTTTTTAATGTTATCCGGATCTGTTTGTACAATTTTCTGTTCTCACGAACACGTATGAAGAAATCTACTAAAGAGAGATTTCTATGTCAGATGATGTACTTCAACATGTTTCTACTAAATTTAGTATTACTAATTTTAGTACTAGTAGTTAGTAGCGTTTTATGGAATAATTTATAGCTATTCTTACTAAATTGACTATATGGTATTATAATACCATTATAGTACTATAAGTACTAATAATAATATTAGTATTATTATTAGTAGTAATAGTATAAATAGTACTTCTTCACTTTTTATTGGTGAGAATAGAAGAACAATCTGCACAGTGTTAACCGAGTTTTGTAAAATATTAAAAAAGAAAATAATTTACCATTCATCAACGACATCATTCCTCGTTCGACAAACCTAAATGACCGACAGGTGAGGCTCATTACGATTGCGAATGATTGACGAACAATTTAACGATCGTGAGCAATTGAATGGTAATGAAATCACAATTGTAAGAATGATAGATAATGGTGCAGTGAACCATAAAATCAACTGTATTCCGAATAAAAATAAAACAGTATAAACAATTTTATGGTTCACCAGATATATTTACATTTTATTTTTCGTATCTCTACATCGTTACATTATATTCTTCAAAAAGTATATGTACTATGAATTTATATTAGTCATGCAGAAATTGTAAGAAGAAATCCTAATAAGTTTCGTTTTTTGTTATCTTTTAAAGGAAAGCAGTTTTGAAACTCGTTATGTTATGAATCAATCTCCGTAGATATGTTGATATTCACGTGTATAAATGCGTGCAGAATATTCAATAGTTCATTACCAGCAATTAAAGCAATTGTTATGCTAATTGCAAGTACTTCTACTTCTTACTAGGCAATAGCAGTAGAAAAGCAGTAGATTCGTGTCAGCATTAGTACTCATGTCATAACAACATCTACAATACTCGTTCGACTATTCGCCAATAGAATATTGCCACCAGTTTGATGATCCATTCAGAATTGAAAAAAATTACGAACACCTCGACCCTATGTAAATTACGAATATGCAAATTTTACTTGTATAAAATACTTTGGCTAACAAAAACCTAACACTTTCCCAAGAGAATACGCGTACAGTAACTTCAAAAAATATTCACACGCCATTGCATCTATTACAGCATTTGCATAATACAATTAATTAGGTCGAAGTGTATCGAATATAGGCGTCGTACAACTGCGAGAATTTAACACTTTAGTCAGAATTATTGGCAGATTCTACATACGAAATTTATCTAAGCAAAACAGTTAGTGTAATCGGTACAACTCACACAGTAGTTCACCAATTTTCTTCTAACTAACTATCATTTATGTATGTGTAAGATAAATGCAATGGCGTGTCAATAATTTTCATAGTCATTGCGTTTGATACATGTTTCATTTAGAGACATTGATACATGTGTCATTTAGTATAGTTTCGTAACATATAATACTGGGTGCTCAAACAACTTTCTGTCGCTACTATACGCATTCACAAGCGGCGTGTATTTTTTTTTTTTTTTTCTTTCACGTGCTCAATTCGAATGGAAGTCCCTCAAACAAACCGTGACTATACATACGAGCACGGCCAGTGGCCGAGCACGTATCGTATAACCTGAAGAGATGGCCTGGATGCCTTTTTTCGTCGTGTACCGTTATCGTAGAATAACTTCGGTTCTGCGATCACATGCCGCTTATTTTACTTTGTCCCCATCGTTCACCCGTTCGATTGTATGTTACGACCTGTGCTCTATTAGCTTGAAGGTTTAACGAGAATAGGAAGCGAACGAGTTTCTCCCGCGAAAACGTTCGGCTCGGTTCAGACGGGCCTCAGTTCTCGTTGCTCGCTCTGCGCGGTCAGTCGAAACAATCTCATCGATACTTGAAAGAAATCACGAAAGAAAAGAAAAAGCACGAAAGAAAAGAAAAAGAGAAGAAATCGATCGGCGATTGGTAAAGCAGTCACTGATACCTGCCGGAAGTGATTAACGCATCGATTAACGGAAGTGCAAGATGAGGATCGCGCTCGCTTTAGGTGTAGTCCTTATTGTTTGTATCAGCGTAAGTACCGATCGAAAGCCCGATTAAAATTTGAAATGAATCGACGCGCGAATTGATGCTTAATTCTTGGATGGACGATGGTTTAATTACGACACGTTCCGACTATTTGTTAACCCATTAAGAACCAACATTACGTCAAATGAATTTATTTTGTGTTTCTTTTAATATCGTGGAAATATACTTTCGATATACTCTTGATGTAAAAAATCTTTCAAGAAATAGCAAAAAATAATTGAGTTAGGCATTTTACATAACGAAAGATACAGTTAATCAATTTACGTACACTGTAGACATATAATTTTAATGTAAAACTTTCAGGAAAAAGTGAAATTTGTAATTTTGCTCCTTTCTCTTGTGAATTCGTAGTCGTTGCAATTAAATGCAAATGTAGACGAAATATAATAATTTCCGAAATATAATAATATAATAATTTCGCAAATAATATAATAATATAATAATTTCGCAAATAATATAATAATATAACAATTTCGCAAATAATATAATAATATAATAATGTCGCACTGTTCGACAGATACGATGCGTCGAGAGCAAAGTAAAGAAGACGCAACTGTCCTTGCAAAGCAAAGAGACAAATGTTGTGAACTTCATGAGATTGCTGGTGATGAGGCTGGTGTTCGGAGTTGCATCGGCGATGGGTCTCGGTGAAAATCTTTCTGGCGTGCTCGGGGGAATTTTCGTACCTCCTGGAGCAGAAGATTACAGTGATTATGCCGACGATGATTTCATGTCGGATTTGTTTTAACAACAGTGCACGCTAAAGCACCGTTCGAACTTGCAATTATAAATAATCAACGAGCGTAAATGGAATTTGAGCTGTATAATTTTACTTTTGATTCTGTTTCATCCTAAAGTCGATGCGATTGATTTATATATACGGAAATAAATATTCTTTTATTCGAATTTAGGCGGGTTAAAAATATTTAAAAATCTGACGCATGCGCATCAATATATTTGCGTCAGCGTGTGCGCGTCAATATACGCACGTCAATCAGTTGTGCGTGTCAACGCACGAGCGTTGGGTGTAATTACGTTTATTTATATTGACAAATTCGCCTGAAATTATTTTTGCTTGTTAAATTTGTAACAGCTTACAACAAACTAGTAATTATTGTAGTCTCGTTTGTAAATAATATTATTTATATTTATATTTATTATTTATTTAAGAGCATAATTATGAAAAACATGAAACCTTGTTGCGTCAAAGAGCATTGGAAATTTAAATTGCTCTTTGTACGTATGAAGGTTTCAGTAAAGCTACTTTTATTTATCTAATTTAGTAATATTAGAAAATTAAATGCCTAACAATTGTTTCATTTAAAAACACATATATACATAATTATGTTTTTAAATAATGATGTATAGAGAATTTGTTTTTAAAGAATGATATATAGAGAATTCGTTACGCGATGTATAGTAAACATATATATGCATAAAATACGGATTCTTTATAAAACTTGAAAATAAAGTAGACTACAAATATTTATTTACGTTATTTATTTATTAAAAGTTATAATCATTATTTTAAATATACGTACATATATCTTTATAATAAATTGTTTTTCGTAAATATAAAATTAGATAAATCGGTAAAACAAATTAGATATTTTACAACAGTATAATTTATTTATTTGCTTATTTATTTTATATAGAATTTTGAAACTTTTATTCATGATAAATCGATAAATACTTCTGTCATAAATAATATAACGACGTTTGTCTTTATGTATATTAAAATTAATATAGAACAGTAATATTATATGTAACATAAATGTATTACTTTTATGTTATATGAACAATATAATGTATTATTTGATATAACATAGATAATAAAAATATACTAAGCATTTAGTAATTAAAAAGTTTGTGAAAAATGGTATAACCTAAAACTTTAATTTAATATTCCAACAACCAATATCTTAAAATGGAGTGGCAAAAGGTATTAGAAACTTTTACACATCAATTAAAACCTGCTATAAAGGATAAAATAAAACGCGAAGATGAGCTTATGTCTTATTTGTGGAATGATCAATATATAAAGTAAGTGACAAAAATTGATAAAAATATCACGATTTTAAACAATATTTTTTAAACTTTTACTTCATTTCATGTTTAGAAAACTTGTGTGTTTATGGTTGGACAATCACTATGACAGGAGAGAATGTAAATCTACTGCTAAAGCACAAGCTTTTAAAAAAATGGGTAACAAAGAATTTCAGGCAAAGAATTACAATAAAAGCATAGAATCATACACAAAATGTGCATTATATGCATCAATAAATAGCTGTGAATTGCCAGTTGCAATGGCAAATAGATCTGCTTCGTTATTTTATTTAGGTAGATATGATGTAAGTAGAAAGTGTAAGTAGAATTGTACTAAAAATATGTATAAACATGTTCTAAGATGTATTTTTGTTTGTATTTCATGATGAGAAGGATTGTATAAAAAATATTCAACTAGCAATTAAATTAAATTATCCTAAACAATTACAATATAAATTATATTTAAGATTACTGCAATGTTATTTGAAGTTAGGCAAACAACAGTTAGCTGAAGAAACACTTACCATGGTACAAAAAATGATTCATGATTCTGATTATATTGCACCTTCTATGAAAGGTAAGCAATACTCATTACTTACAAATTTACAAATAATGATTTTTTTATAATGAAATCACTAACTTTCAGATAATATTGAAAAAAAAATAAATAATATAGCATTTACTGACTCATTTGAGAAAAATACCGTACAGAACACTATACAGAATACTGATGATTTATCAAGATTAAAATCTAAAATTATAATTGAAGAAAATGTTAATTTCCCTAATGCATCTATAAATATAGATAGAATATACAATGAAAAATTAGGGAGACATGTAGTAGCAAATAAATCTATTAAAAAAGGTGATATTCTATTTATGGAAAAACCTGTAGGTTTTGTGTTACTAAGTCATGACACACATAGTCTTTGTCCACATTGTATTTGCTCAAACACAGATATTCCTGTTCCGTAAGTCGTGTATTTACTTTCATATAATATTTTCTCCGTAGTAAGAAAGATTTATAATATTATGTTATTTCAGATGTACAACATGTGTAAATAATTTTTATTGTAATGACTATTGTTTAACCGAAGCATGGTCTTCGTATCATTGTTGGGAATGTCCAGGAAGTCAAATGGAACTTTGGAAAGAAATTGGAATAGGACATTTAGCCTTAAAAGTTTTATTAACTTGTACAACTACCACAGACAAAGTTAAATTCAATGAAATGCAAAATTTAATTACTAATTTTGATAAACTATCTATGGACGATTTAAGAATATATGGAATTGTATGTATATTTCAAGAGAAAATATACATTTACACATACAAAATTAAAATTTTGTTTAGTTATGTTATTATAACTTTTACAGACAGCTATTATGCTCACTATATATTTATCGAAATATACAGACTTTTTCGAAACAAATAATCTTGAAGATTGTTTAATGAGCAAATTTTCGGATAATTCATTCAACATGAATTTTAATATTTTAACAAACAATGACAAACAACTTTATGTAAGTTCTTTACTTTTACGATATATTCTTCAACTTATTGGTAATGGACATGCGATTACAAAATCAAATACACTATTAAGTAATGACTCTTCCATGAACGAACAAGATATTGTAGCTACAGGAATTTATTCTTCTGCAAGTATGATGAACCATTCGTGCGATCCCAATATAATTAACATGTAATCCTTAAACTTATATAACATATGTATATTTATATGTTTCAGTATGTTTCAATACAATTTTGTTTTTAATTTTAGATTTATGAATCAATATCTCATTGTTAGAGCTTCAAAAGATATTGCCAAAGATGAGGAAATTTTCAACTGCTATGGTATACTACAATTTGTTTAAAAATGTACTTGTTCTAATTACTAAATAATACTGATATAATAAAATTATTACTAGGACCACATTATAGATATATGACAACAGAAGATAGACAAAAGATTTTAAAAAGTCAATATTGTTTTACTTGTAAGTGTACAGCATGTACTCTACCTAGGTTACAATATTTTATGGTAAATATAAAATTATGACATATTTAAATATTAATATATATCGTGTTATATTATTATTGAGATTATAATTACAGGAAAGATTTAATGCTATGAAATGTGTGAAATGTAATGGCCCAGTACGTAATACAATAGATTCTATACATTGTTTGGATTGCGGTGACAAAACGCAAAAGTATTCTCGAAATGAAATAATAGAAGCTAAAGAATTCTTCGAAACAGCTCAAATTTCTATTAATTTAGGAAAAACAGATGAGGCCTTAAATAAATTAAAAAAATGTTTATGTATTAGGAGAACAATATTGTATAAATATAATGAAGATATTACAAATACATTAAATCTTATGGGAGAAGTGTATAAAATAATGGGTTTGTTTAAATACATCATATACATAAGATGTGTCCAAAAATTATATAATAGAATAATAATGATAAAATTAATTCTTAGGACGATGGATAGATAGTATAACATGTTTGGAAAATGCACTTGCAGCAGTCAGAGAAAGATTTGGTTCCTATAGTATAGAATTTCTTAATCAATTGAATGATCTTACAGATGTGTGTCTTATATATCTGGAAAAGGAATTAAACATTAATATAAACATTTACAAGTAAATATCTTTGTAATTTGCCGTGGGTTACAAGTATTTCAAAATTATAATATTTATGATTTTTATTATAGAAAAATATTGAAGAAAACTCAAAACTATTTAAATCAACTAGAAAAAATTGCAAGTTTTAATTATGGATCTTGGAATAAAGTTTACGAAGATATAAGACAAAAACAAAAGAAGATTGACTGTTATAGTACATAAAACTTAAATGAACAAATAAACATATTTTATTAAGATATGTATTGTTATTTATTTTTACTTATTTAATTATTTATTATTCCCTAATTTATTTATTTAATTAAACATAATCGTATATAAAGAAATCTATCTTATGTAAAATGATACACATATTCTAATAAACATTTCAGAAGACGTTTCAGAAGATAATTTATAATTTTATGAACCATCTCTAGTACAGCAAAAAAATAAAACTACGCGTAGAATAGCAAGCAGAATAAATTGTAACATGTGTAAAAAAATTTTATTTTCAATTAATATTTTTTCTTCCCTAATTCGTGTGTCTTACTATTTATTATGTTGTAAGTAATAAAAGAACAAAGTTTCCTTGAAATATTTTTTTTTTGTACGTTTATATTAAGAATTTAAACATGCACCGGTGGATCACCCCTAGGATGGGTGCCAGAACTAATTAATATTGTTGTCCTCATCGCACGTTGTTACCCTCTTTGTCTACCGCACAGATATGTTCGTCCTTGTCTCACGCTATCGCCTTCCTTGTTTATGACGCGAATATACCTGTCCTTGTCGCACGCGATTGCTCTCCTTGTCTAACGCACTTATATGTCTGTCCTTGTCGCACGCTGTTGCTCTCCTTGT